TGCCAGCTCGCCACCCGTTCGCCGCTGCCAGCAGCTTGCTCGCAACTTGCCACGACCGCCACAGTTGCCAGTAGCGCGCTGCCACCAGTTTTCTGCCACCAGCCGCCACCAGCTCGCCATCGCCAGTAGCGCGCAAGCCACTACCAGCTTGGCGTCAGCCTGCCCCCGCCAGCAGCTTACTAGCAGCTCACCACCGCCAGCTCGCCACTAGCCTAAAACTGTCAGCTTGCCGCCAGCGGCTCACATCTAGCTAACCAGCCACCAGCCAGCAAGCCGTTTGCCGCCAGCCACCTGGCCAGCCCGCTAGTTAGCCCACCAGCCAGCTGCCAAACAGACAGCCAGCTGCTTCCGCTAGCTAGCTGGCCAGCCAGCCAGTCGCCAAACAGCTATCTAGTTGCCAGCCACGTCGCCAGCCAGCCAGCTCGACGCCAGCCATCCAGCTTGCCAGCCAAATAGCCAGCCACCCAACTAGCCAGCCAGCTGCCGCTAGCCAGCTTGCCATCCAACCAGCTGCCAGCCAGCTAGCCAGCCGCCAGCCGCGAGCCAGCTACCTGCCAGCTAGCCAGCCAGCCAACCAACCAGCCGCCAGCCAGCCAACCAGGCAGGCGCCAGACAGCCAGCCAGTCGCCAGCCAACTAGCCCACCGCCAGCCAGGTAGTCGCCAACCAGCCAGCCAGCCAGCCAACTGCCAGCCAGCTAGCCACCATCCATCCAGCCAGCCAGCCAGCCGCCAGCCAGCCACCAGCCAGCAGCCCGCCAGCTGCCCGCCAGCCGCCAGCCCGCTGCCAACCTGCCACCAGGCAGTTGCTAGCTAGCCGTCCGTTGCCAGCCAGCAGCCAGCCAGCTGCTAGCCAGCCGCCAGCTCGCAGCCAGCCTGTCGCCAACTGCCAACCAGCCGCCGGCCAGCAGCCAGCCTGCCACCAGCCGCCAATCGCTAGGCAGCCGCCAGTTGCTAGCCAGTAGCCAGCAACCAAGAGCCAGCCACAAGCCCTCAGCTAACTCCCTGCTCCCTGCCAGCCGCTCGCCAGCCACTGGCCTGCCGTCAGCTGCCAGCCAAATGCCAGCCGCCGGCCACAAGCCGCTCCCGCCTTCTACCGCCCGCTGCTGCCTGCCACTGCCTTATGTCGCCCAGTGCTGCCTGCTACTTCAGCCGACGCAACTCCAGCAGCTACAATCGCTACCGCCGCCGCCCCTACAGCCACCGCCCCTGCTCCTGACGCCCTCCTCTCGTGGCTCTGTGCCGTCCGCTTCCAGCGCTCCCTGCTTCTGCTCCGTCTTCACCCTGACCGTGATGGCAAGTTCGCCTTTGGTTATCTAGGTCAGTTCTTTCATGCGGAGGGCATCGCCCAGACGCTCACCTTTCCGGATTTGCCGCAGCAGAATGGGGTAGCTGAGTGATGCATCGGCTTGGTCATAGAGATGACACACACCTCCATGGTCCATGCCGGTGCACCCCATTTTCTGTGGCCGTTCGCGGTGCCCTACGCGGCTCACCAGCTTAACATGTGGTCTCGCTCCTCGCAGCCACAGGTTTCGCCGACCCTCCTCTAGACTGGGTCTCCTATTCATGCGTCGGCGCTTTATATCTAGGGCTGCAAGGCTCATGTCCCCGCAAGATCTCAGCCCGCAGCTCCCCCTATGTCTTCCTTGGTTTCCCGTTCGACGAGTCCGTTTCCATCTACGCCCGCTTTTCTTACCGTGGCGCTCATGTCCCTCCTCTGCCTTTCTTCTTGGCCCCTCCTCCGCCTGCTGCTCCCCTCCGACCCCGCCCGGCCCCGTCTGGCATCTCCCACGCCACTCCCCTCCCCTTGGTTGGGCCTGTAGGGAAGTCTGTTGACTCTGGAGGCCCCGTGGCTGGGATGCGCCTGGTGTAGCTGCGGTGCCCTTCATCCCTAGCCCGGGTTCCCCCAGGCACCTCAGCCGTCTCCCCCGATGCCACCGCAGCATCATCAGTTTAGCAGAAGCAACAGCAGCAGCAGCGGCAGAAGGCGGTGGTTTTTGGGGGTGCTGGTTTTATAGGGGTGCTAGTTCTAGGAGTGCTGGCTCTGCGGGTGGTGCGACTGGGGGTGCTAGTCCTGCGGGTGTTTGCTCGGAGAGTACTGACGGTTGTGGGTTTGCGGTTCCTACCATGGATTGGGAGCAACAGCAGCAGAAGCAACAGCCACAGCCGTAGCCACAACAGCAGCAGTAACAGTCTGCTCTTCGTCTCCTTGGCCTTCCCTCCGGTTCCCCTGACCGCTCGCCCGTCCCTCCAATTATGCCTCCCCGCTCGCCTGACCCTGTCTACGGCCCACTCTCCCCCCCCCCCTCCCGGACTCCTCTCCGGATCATTTCCCCCCTCGCTCTCCTCCGTCCCTTGTCCTATCCCTTGTTCCCCCACGTCCCCATTCCCTCGTCCTTCCCCACTGGATCGGTCGTCACCCTAGTGGACGTCCTATCTCTCCTCGTGCTTGTGTCCACCCTATGATTCTTCCTTCTCATGCTCCTTCAGTCCTTGTCCTGCTTTAACCTCCCCAGTCGTCGCTCCCGCTATCCCCTACTCCTCTCTCTGAATCTGCTCACACAACTCATCCAGTCATCTCCCGCTTGCTTGTGTCGCTTTAACTGACCTTGCCACTCCTCCAGAGACTGTCTTTGCCCTAGTCACTACTTTCATTGACTTTGTCGCAAGCCACCGCCTAACTACACTTCCGCTCTAGTCTCTGAATCTGCCTGTCCTCCGCCCGTCGGGGTGCACCTGCCCTTGGCACTGACGTCCTAGAGGATATATAGTATGATCTAGCTTTCTTTGCGGCTGCTGTACCTCATTTTTGTGCCATGCTTGTATCCCCTGAGGGTGATCCGGACGCCCTGGATATCCCTATCCTGTGCTCCTATGCTGAGGCGGTCTTAGATGCCTGGGCAACCCAGTGGATACAGGCCATGGAGGCAGAGATGGCATCTTATAGATCCACGGGCACTTACGTCGACGCAATTCCTTCGCCTGGAGTGAACATAGTCGATGGCATGTGGATCTATAAGGTGAAGCGCTCACCAGAAAAGACGCATGTCTTTAAGATGCACTACTATGTGGCTAGAGGTCTCAGTCAGCGAGAGGGTGTGGACTCCCTCAAGACCTTCTCCCCTGCCCTGAAGATGTCTACTCTTCGGCTGCTCCTTCCCGTAGCTGCACAGTGTAACTACGAGTTCCACTCCTTAGACTTCTCGACAGCCTTCTCGCAGAGCAGCCTTCACGAGCTGATCTACTGTACCTGCGGCGCCCACCAGGCTTCACCGGGTCCTTTCCCACAGGGACCCAGTGGTGCATGTACGACCCTATCTACAATCTGCGTCAGGCGCCCCATGAGTGGCAGGACGTGCTCTGTGCTATACTCGTCGCTCTTCAGTTATTCCCGTCCTCTGCTCACCCCTCGCTCTTTGTTCGTACCGGTCTGACTTCATTCTAAATACTTGTGTACATAGACGGCCTCATCTTTGCTACTCCTCTCAGAGACGCACTAGCCTCAGTAAAGGCCGAATTGCTCAGGCGCCACGCCTGAACGGACCTCGGGAGTTGCGGCACTATCTGGGCTTGGAGATCTCTTGTGATCGTGCCGCGCGCATGATCACACTCTCCTAGTCCCACATGGTGCAGTAGATCCTCCAGGGGTTCGGTCTTCAATTCTCGTTAGCACTGACCACCCTGCTGCTTGTGGACTACAAGCTCTCTGCTCATGTTTCTGCCGAGCAGGTCGAGCCTAGTGGTCCATATGCCGAGCTGGTTGGGTGCCTCATGTACCTGATGACGTGCACTCGACCAGATCTAGCGTACCCTGTCAGTATCCTTACATGATTTGTTGCGACTGGCAGACACCGTCCTCAGCACTCGTCGGCTGCCACGAGGGTGATGCGGTATATCTGACGAGTATACTGTATCTGGACTGGGGCTTATGCTGGCAGGACGGGAGCCACTGGTCCTTACTGGACACACCGACATGTCGTGGGCTGACGGCCTGAAGACACTAAGGTCTTCACAAGGCTACTGCTTTAATCTTGGTGCGGGTGCAGTCTCGTGGAGGTCCACTAGATCGTCGTCTAAAGTATAGTCCAGTTCTAAGGCAGAGATCTATGCTGGGGCGATGGCCGCTCAGGAGCTCTACTGGCTGACGTTCTTGCTCACCGACTTAGGTGAGCAACCTGACTCTGCCTCGGTCATGTTTGCTGATAACAGGGACATGATCCTCCTGAGTAAGGAGGCTCGACTAGAGGGCAGGGCTAAGCATATCCAGCTACGGTACTTCGTGCTATGCGAGTTGCAGCATGGTCAGGCTCATGTAGTAGAGTTGGCCTCAGAGGCCAACACTGCTGATATCTTCACCAAGGTCGTAGCGCCTCGTGACCATCAGCGGTTCTGTACCCAGCTTGGTCGAGTCTAAGTAGGCTCTTCCTTGCTTGTATCCTAATCTATCATATACTCGCTTTGTATTTGCTACCCTATACCGGTTGTCTTGTTACACTTGCTGACGTGCCCTTAAGCCCCTGTCTCAGTGGTCAGACTAGTAGTGCAGCACTGAGCTAAAATAGCTCAGAGCTGCACTACTAGTCTGACGTCTGAGACAAGGTCAATAAGGCCAGTCAGCAAGTGTAACAAAACCAGCGATACAGAATGGCAAATACAAAACCGGTATAGTAGAAATCAGGATACAAGCAAGGGAGAGGCGACTGGGTCTAGACCAAGCTGAGTATAGAACCGCTGATGGTCACGAGGCCCTTGGGCCTTGGTGAAGATATCAGTAGTGTTGGCCTCTGAGGCCAACTTAGCTACACGAGCCTGCCCGCGCTGCTGCAACTCACGCAGCAGGAAGTACTGCATCTGGATATGCTTTGCCTTGCCCTCAAATCGGGCCTCCTAATACAGGAGGATCATGGCCATGTTATCAGCAAACAATGTTAGGATTAAAAACGGAGTCTAGGTGAACTTAGGAGCTAGAATTACTCAAAATATAAATCCGAAATTCTGGACAGAAAAATCGTCTTCACAAGAAACGACGTCGACGGAAAACTAGCCGTTGGAATGTCGCGAAACTTGGATATGTTGTAGCTCTTAATCTCAGCTACTATTCCCAATTTGAATCACGTTCATTGATGAAGTATTCGCGACGCTATGGCTTTCGACGCATTAGGTGGTAAGCTGTAGGAGGAGAACTTAACTCAATCTCAAAAGTTCAATCAAGGTTCAAGAATCTCACAAGGAATTAGAAGGAGCAAGAGAAAGGTTGGGATAGGAAGAGAGGGATGAGAGGGAAGGTCCCAAGAGAGTCCCCAACCAAGGAAACCCCATAAGCACAAAGATTCCCTCCCTATAGGAACCTCAACTTTGACCTCTGTCCCTTCCCAACCAATCCATCCAAGTTGGCCACCCTTGCCAACCTAGCTTGGTTGTTCCCAACCTATTTGCAGCTGTTACAGTAGAGTGACAAGTTTCCCCAACCCCAAAGGTCCCAACTCCATATAAAGTCACCCCACAACTTCACTTAGTAACCGCCGCAATTGTAACGCAAGCTCATGAACTTTGAATCTTCATAGCTTTCGCGTTCTTGCTCCGATTGAAGGGATTCTTGTTGCGTCGGAAATATCTTCTCAAGATCTATTATCACAAATACCTGCTCAAACAAAAATAACACAGAACACATTCCCAAACTCCAGAACACACCACACACAAATGCTTGCACATTCAAACCACACATGCAAGTTGAAAAAACATGGGATGGGAGGCAGACAGAATGTGATAGCATATGATGACATCACACAACAATCTCCCCCTCTGGCTGCCAACCATCATCGACCATACCACATCTCAAGCATGCATACTCAATGCACACTCATCCCAGCAAGCTTCATGCCCTTCCAATGATCCGCCTCCGCCAGACGCTTAGTGAAAATATCTGCTGCCTGCTGATGGGTCTTCACTATCTCCAGCCGCACCTCCTTATCAAGGAGTCTCCTCACCCAATGCCACTTAGGCCTTATGTGTTTTGTCAGCCCATGCAGACAAGCATTCTTGGCCAGCTTCACTGCAGACTCATTGTCACAAAACACAACTGTCGGCTTCTCCTGACCAACTCCCAACTCCTCCAACAAACGCCTTAGCCACACTACTTCCTTGGCCCCATGGTGTAAGGCCATGTACTCAGTCTCACATGAGGACAATCCCACCTCATTCTGCTTCTTGCTGCGCCAGCTCACAGCACCACCTCCTAGCAAGCACACATAACCCCAAATGCTGGTGCCATCCGCTTTCACTGAGTTGAAGCTAGCGTCAGTATAGCAACTCAAGAGCATCTCTCCACTCTTCACATCTGCAGCACCTCTCTGCAACCGCTGCCTCACTCCACTGTACTCCAATCCCACTGATGCCGTAGCACTCACATAGCGGACCAACCTCTTGGCCGCTTCCAGCTGCTCATGACTAGGACGTGAAACCACGCTAGCCAGTCGTGATGTAGCAAATGCAATGTCAGGCCGTGTATGATTTGCAGCATAATTCAGCGACCCAACCATCGAATGAAACAGCTTCCTGTCACTATCACCCACTACCTCCTCATCAGCACATGGCTCCACAGTGAATCTCGAAGGTAGTGGTGTTGCTGGCTTTCCCCCATCTTGCAGCCCATACTTCTCAGCCAGCCCCTCACAGTACTTCCTCTGGTGCAACCTCAGCACACCCTTTTCCACATCTCTCTCCACATGCATCCCCAAGTAGTACTTCACCTCACCCATCTTGGAGCACTTGAACTGCATCTCCAGCATCTGCTCTGCGCTGTCCAGCAAAACAGTTGATGCAGAAAAGAGAAGGATATCATCCACATACACCAAGAGCATGAGGATTTCGTCCTTCTCCTGCAGCAGGAACAGGCTGGGGTCACACTCACTCTTCTTGAAACCCCCAGCCACCAGCGCCTCCTCCAACTTGTGATACCATGCACGAGGCGCCTGCTTAAGGCCATAGATGGCCTTCTTCAGCCTGCAGACCCTGCCGCTCCCATCATCCAGCCCCTCTGGCTGCTTCATGTACACCTCCTCCATAATGATCCCATTCAGAAAAGCAGTCACAATGTCCATCTGCCGTATCTTCCATCCCAGGAGTGCAGCTATCGCTAACAGCACCCTCAGTGTTGTTCCTTTCCCCACAGGAGCAAACACCTCATCATAGTCCTTCCCTTTTGTCTGCTGAAACCCCCTTGCCACAAGCCTGGACTTGTAGCGGGTCAGCTCCCCTTCAGGTCCATACTTGTGCCTGTAGATCATCTTGGAAGTGATTGCCTTCTTTCCAGGAGGCAAGTCACACAGGTCCCATGTCTCGTTTTCAATCAGGGACCCGAACTCCTCATCCTCACTCGCCTTCCACTTCTCCCCATTTGGTCCATTCAAAGCCTCTTCTCGAGTCTTGGGCTCAGGGATTGGTGCCCAGTAGCAGTGAGCGATCTCATCTTCCTCAATCTGCTCAACCACACTCCCAGCCTGCACCACATTTGGCTTGCCTCTTCCCCCATAGGTCAGCCTCACAGGAGGGCGCACATCCCTCCTAGGTCGCTCAGGCGGGTGTGGAACTCGAGGTGGAGACTCATGCTGCTGTTGCTGCTCCACTTCAGCTGCTCCCCCTTCCTCAGTCACCCCAGACATCTCCTCCTCTGACACTGCAACCTCCACCTGCCTTGAAGGCTGCTGCAACTCATCTACCTCCACAACGAGCGGTGTAGATGGAAGCTTCTGTTGCTGCTGCTTCCATTCCTTGTAGTACAGGAACTCAAGAAACTTCACATCCCTTGACACTGTCAACTTCTGGGTGGTCAAGTCCCATAGCAGCCACCCCTTGTGATCCTTTGCAATCCCCAAGTGCACACCCCATCTTCCAGAAGCCTCCAACTTCCCCCTTTTCTCCTTAGGCACATGAAACACCACCATGCACCCAAATGCCCTCAGCATGTTCACAGCTGGAGCACTCCCATACCACTTGACATATGGGATCCACTCCTTATCTCCAACTGTAGCCAGCACCCTGTTCTTCACAAGGGCGACCTGCCTCAGTGCAGACACCCAAAACGGATCAGGCAGCCCTGCACGCCCAAGGAGAGTGCGTGCCCCCTCCTGCAGGGTCCTGTTGAATCTCTCAGCCATGCCATTCTGCTGCGGGTTGTAGGGCACTGTCAGTTGATGTTGGATCCCCTTCCTCTTCAACTCCCCCTCAAAATCAGCTCCAATGAACTCCCCACCATTGTCACTGCGGATCACCTTCACCTTGTATCCGCATTCCCTCTGAGCTCTAGGCATCCACTCCTTAAGGACAGCCGCTGCCACCTCCCCCTTGCTCTTCAAAGGGTAAACCCACACTGCCCGAGTGTGGTCATCCACAATTGTCAAGAAATAGCGGCTGCCTGAGAGGGAAGGGGCTCTTGTGGGCCCCACCACATCCATGTGCACAAGTGCAAGTGGGGTCTTGGCTGGTCCTGTAGTGCTGTTGAAGGGGAACTCGGAGAACTTGGTCTCCAAGCATGTAGGGCAGCTCCCAATCTCCTTCACTTCCCCTTTCACCTCCAAGCCTTTCAGGCTCCCATCCTTCACCAACTTCTGCAGCATAGGGAAGTTCACATGACACAGCCTCTCATGCCATGTCTCCCAATCGGCCTCTCCACTCCTTGATGAAGCCTTAGCCCATGCCGCACTCGCATCCACACCAGCAAGCACCTCACCATGTGTCTGCTGCTTCTCCACTTTCTTGACTGCTTCCAGGACCCCATCTGTTGGTGCAGTTGCATCTCCTCCTGCTGTTGCCTTTGCCGCTGCTGCCGTTGCTGCTGTTGGAGTCTTCCCATTCCAAGGGATGATGGGCAGCTGCCACAGGTCCTTGATGCAGCTGGTCTCCTCTTCCAGACTCCACAGCACCTTCTTCCCAAGCTTAGCACGGCAGCTGGTTGGTCCAAAGGTCACTTCGGCCTTGCTCTTCTGCAGTCGTCGCAAAGAGAGAAGGTTAGCAGACAAGCCTTCAACCAGCAGAACATTCCCAAGCCCCACAAGCTCCCCATTAGCTCCCTTAACCTTGGCATTCCCAATACCAATCACGGGGAGCAAAGCACCTGACGCTGCTGCCACATACTTAATCTTCCCAGGGGGTTTTACCTCATCAAGCAAATCTGCCCGTGGAGTCATGTGACTGGTGCAACCCGAATCAATCACCCAGTGCGTGAGAGGGTGCATCACAACCTTTCCGACAGATCCCACATCACCCTCATGCCCATGCACATCCTCAACCATAACAAACAAACCAGGATAGGCATTACCTTGTGCACCTTCACCTTGTGCACCTGTGCCTTGCACAGCGCCACCTTGTGCGCGTTCACCACTGGGCGGCTTCATGCCTGGAGGTGCCCATCCCTCCGGCCTGCTGAAGCACTTGAACCAAGGATGCCCGACCTTCTTGCAGTACCAGCAGATGCCCTCCATTCTGGTACTCCCCCTGCCACCAGAGCTTCCATGCCCCTCATTATAGTCACCTCGGCCTCTACCTCTGCCAAAGCTCCTCCCACGGCCTCGGCCTCTCCAACCCCCTCTTCCTTTGCCGTGCCCTGCAGCTCCATACCCCTCAGCAGTCTTAGTGGCAGCACCGCCTCCCACATGGCGTCTACGGAAGTCCTCCTGCAGAATCTGCTGCCTTAGCCACTCAGGTGTCCATTGATCTTGCTGAGAGTTGAGGGTGGGGATGAGGTTGTCCCAAGAGTTGTCCAACACCGAGATGATCTTGGTGCACTGCTGCAGCTGAGATACACTGCTGCCCGCTGCTGCCATCCTTGCATAGGTGTCCTTGATCTTGTCAAGGACCAGCTTCACATCATCCCCTGGTCGCATGGAGATGGCAGCAAGTTCCTTCTCGAGCACGATCACCATTGGGAGAGTGTTAGGCTGAATCACATCACGTAGTAGTTTCCACGCCCTTGGACCCGAATCATCCGCTTCCACAAGATCCTTGATGTGCTCGAACATCTCCTTGTTGACCGATTGAAGGATGAGGTCGAAAAGCACCGCGCTTTTCTCAATCCACCGTTCGCGTGCTTCGCCTTCTTCTGGCATATTCTCTTCCCCAATAGCAATCTTCAGTAGCTTGTAGCGTTTGAAGGCACTCCTCATCCGTCCGCTCCATTCCTCATAGTTGGAGCCATCCAAAGCTTCAACTTTTGATGGCGGCGGCTCACTTGTCTTCTCAGCTACAGCTCCTCTTCCATTAGCATCTCCTCCTCTCTCATTCATCTTCTCCTTGAGAAATGACGAATTTCAGCTCCCCTTTGCTGTCCACACTCAGCTCCCTCGATATTTTCACAAGTATCGGCGTCCACGAAATTTCGGCAGAGTTTCCCCTTAGCGGAAGTCACATCCAACCTTTAGAACACCACTTAGGCACACCCACAGGCCATGGTGGGTCTAGAAGGGTCTTCACACTTCTGTAGACTCCTCTCAATGTCCTCAATATTGCTCTGATACCAGTTGTTAGGATTAAAAACGGAGTCTAGGTGAACTTAGGAGCTAGAATTACTCAAAATATAAATCCGAAATTCTGGACAGAAAAATCGTCTTCACAAGAAACGACGTCGACGGAAAACTAGCCGTTGGAATGTCGCGAAACTTGGATATGTTGTAGCTCTTAATCTCAGCTACTATTCCCAATTTGAATCACGTTCATTGATGAAGTATTCGCGACGCTATGGCTTTCGACGCATTAGGTGGTAAGCTGTAGGAGGAGAACTTAACTCAATCTCAAAAGTTCAATCAAGGTTCAAGAATCTCACAAGGAATTAGAAGGAGCAAGAGAAAGGTTGGGATAGGAAGAGAGGGATGAGAGGGAAGGTCCCAAGAGAGTCCCCAACCAAGGAAACCCCATAAGCACAAAGATTCCCTCCCTATAGGAACCTCAACTTTGACCTCTGTCCCTTCCCAACCAATCCATCCAAGTTGGCCACCCTTGCCAACCTAGCTTGGTTGTTCCCAACCTATTTGCAGCTGTTACAGTAGAGTGACAAGTTTCCCCAACCCCAAAGGTCCCAACTCCATATAAAGTCACCCCACAACTTCACTTAGTAACCGCCGCAATTGTAACGCAAGCTCATGAACTTTGAATCTTCATAGCTTTCGCGTTCTTGCTCCGATTGAAGCGATTCTTGTTGCGTCGGAAATATCTTCTCAAGATCTATTATCACAAATACCTGCTCAAACAAAAATAACACAGAACACATTCCCAAACTCCAGAACACACCACACACAAATGCTTGCACATTCAAACCACACATGCAAGTTGAAAAAACATGGGATGGGAGGCAGACAGAATGTGATAGCATATGATGACATCACACAACAAACAAAACCAGAGCAGACTTAGGCTGCTCACCTACAATATGTCACTGAGCAAGAACTCTAGCCATCGGAGCGCCTAGGCTGCCATAGCCTCAATGTAGATCTCTGCCTCACAACTGGACTGAGCTACAGACGACGACCTAGTGGACCGCCACGAGACTGCACCCGCACCAAGACTAAATCAGTAGCACCATGAGGACCTAAGTCTCTCCACGTCCTCGGCCCACAACCCGTCTGTGTGTCCCGTGAGGACCACTGGTACCCATCGTCCCAGCACAAGCCCTAGTCCACATGTACTTGCCAGATACCGCAACACCGTCTGGGCAGCTGACCAGTGCAAATGTTGGTGTCTGCCAGTCGCAACAAAGCAAGCAAGGATACTGAGAGGGTATGCTAGATCTGGTCGAGTGCACGTCATCACGAACATGAGGCACCCCACCAGCTCGGTGTATGGACCACTATGCTTGACCTGCTCACCAGAAATAGGAGTTTAGAGCTTGTGGTCCACAGTCAGAGGGGTGGGTTGTGCCGACGAGAAGTGAATGGCGGACCGCTAGAGGATGTGTTGCACCATATGGGGCTGGGAGAGTGTAAGCATTCGCATTGCACGATCACGAGAGATCTCAAAGCGTAGATACAGTAGCCCAGCAGCTCTCCTAGGTCCGTACAGGCTTGTCGCCTAAGCTGTTCGGCCGTCACTGAGAACAGTGCTATTCTGTATGGAGTAGCAAAGATAAGGTCATCTAAGTACGCAAGTATGTAGAACGGAGTCTGCCTAGCACGAACAATGAGCAAGATGTTAGCAGAGGACGAGAAGCACTGGTGCACCGCGAGAGTAGTGCAAAGTGTGTCGTGCCACTTACGGGGCGCCTGGCGCAGACCGTAGGCAGGGCAACATAGGCTCCACTTGGTCCCAGGAGCGAAGGAAGTAGTGAAGCTTCGTGGGCGTCGCAGGAAGATCAGCTCGTGTGGGCTGCCCTGCAAGAAGGTTGTCGAGAAGTCTAATGAGTGGAGCACATAGTCACGCTGTGCGGCTATGTACAGGAGTACCTGAATAGTAATCATTTTCAGAGGTTGGGGAGAAAGTTTGGAAAAAGTCCACACCCTCTCACTAATTGAAGGCTCTAGCCACATACCGCACCTTGAATTGCGGGGACTCTCCAGGCGGGCGCTTCACCCTATAGATCCACTTGCCATCGACTATGTTCACCCCAAGTGGAGGAACTGCATCGACGTAAGTTCCAATGGATCTATGAGATGGCATCTCTGCCTCCATGGTCTGTATCCACTGGGCTGCCCAGACACACGAGCGCGGGGTAGGGATGTCCAGGGCATCCGGGTTGCCCTCCGTGGACACAAGCATGGTGCAGAGATGAGGTACAGTAGCCACAAAGAGAACTAGTTCCATTGCCTATCCTCGAGAACATCACTGTCAAGGGCAGGTGCACCCTCGACGGACGGTGGACAGGCAGGGTCAGAGACCAGCGCGGAGGCGTAGTCAAGGCGGTTGCTCGCGGCAAAGTCAGCGACAGCAATGACTATTGCAGAAACACCCCCAGGAGGAGCAGTAGGATCAGTAACAAGCAATGCAAGCAAGCAGGTGATGACTGGACGAACTGTGCAAACTGAGTCAGAGAGAGGAGGATGGGACAGCGGGAGCGACGGTTAGGGAGGTAACAGTAGGTCAGGGACTGAAGGAGCACGAGAACAAAGGACCATGGTATGCACACGAGCACGAAGAGAGACAGGACGACCACCATGGGGACGCCACACCCAGTGGGGTGGGACGGGGGACGAGGAGGAAAGGGGGGGATGGAGGAGAGTGAGGGAGGAAACGAGCCAGAGAGGAGTCAGGGGGGAGAACAGTGGGTTGTAGGCAGGGTCAGGCAAGAGAGGAGGCACTGTAGGACGGACCGGCAGGGGGTCAGGGGAACCGGAGGAAAGTCCAAGAAGGCGAAGGGCAGACTGCGGCTGTTTCTGATGCTCTCGGCCCACGCCAGAACCCCCAACTCCACTACTGCTACCATCAGGACTCTCTGTTCCTACTGCTATTTCTGCGGCGGTAGCAGGGGAGGCAGCTGAGATGCCTGGGGTACCGGGGCCTTGGGGGAGGGGGGGGAGGGGGGGGGGGGGGGCAGCTGCGGCAGGTGCACCCCCAGCCACAAGGTCTCCAAATTTACAGTAGCAGACTCCCCCACTGGCTTAACTAAGGGGAGGGGAGTGGCGTGGGAGACACCAGACGGGGCCCGTCGGGGTGGGAGGGGAGCGGCAGATGGTGGAGGAGTGAGGAAGAGAGGTGGAGGAGGAACACGAGTGCCATGGTGAGGGAAGTGAGTGTAAAAGGAGATGGACTCGTCGAACGTAACATCACGACTGTGAAAGAAGCGGTGCTGTGTCGGGTGGTAGAACAGCCAGTCATGAGCATCGAGCGGGAACCCGAGGAAAACACAGGAGACAATGCATGCTGAGAGCTTGTCCGGGCTAAGGACGCATAGATTGCAGGCGCGTCACGAGGACACCCAGTCCAGAGGAGGGTCGGCGAAACATGTGGTTGTGAGGAGAGAGACCACGTGTTAAGCTAGTGAGCCACATAGGGCATTGCAAACGGCCACAGAAAATGGGGTCACTGGCATGGACCATAGAAGTGCGGGCCACCTCCATGATCACGCTGATGCGACGCTCCGCGACCCCATTCTGTTGAGGCGAGTCCGGAAGGGCGAACGTCTGGGTGATGCCCTCTGCACGACGTAACTGACCTAGACGTCTGGGGCCGAACTCGCCACCACGGTCGGAGTGAAAGCATAGCTCATACAAGGAGCATCGGGTGTGGACGACACTGACCCACGGGAGGAGGGCGTCAGGCACGTCAGCATTCCGCTCCAACAAGAAAAATGTGGTGAACTGCATGAAGTCATCGACAACAACCAGGAAGTAGCGCTCCTCACCAGGCCCTTGGACCGGGGCGGGGCCACAGACGTCCATGTGCAAAATCTATAGGGGAGCAGCATTGGGAGGAGATGAATAGGAGTGAGGGGCAGCGCACTGCCGGCCCTCGATGCAGGGGGTGCACACGCATGCGAGGGAGGCGGGGAGGATGGGGAGTGATGTGGGGAGACGTGTGAAAAGAACGGGGTGTGCCATGTGACGCAGATGCGGGAGAGCAAGGTGACCTAAGTAGTGGTGCCACAGGAGTGCCAGGTGGGTGAGGGAGCGACAGGAGCAGGACGAGGCAACCTGGGTGGACGCGGCTACTTGGGGTGATGCTGTGTGCAGTGTGGAGAGACCGGATGCAGGGTCTCGGTCAAAGATGGCAAGACGGGCACCCCTGTCGGTGTCCGTACAAGCTGCATATTTCTTGTGGCCAGGGAACGTGATGGTGACACCACGGTCCTGGATACAACCGTCACCAACCACATTCCTGGAGGACGTGAGGATATGCAAGCCAGTAAGGGAGCCGGAAGGAACAGCTGGACAGGGGATAGCCATGGTGCTGCGGGCTACAGCTGCTGCAGGGGAGTCTGCTAGGGACATCGGTACCGGTGCACGAAGCGGCGTGAGTGCAGTGCGGTCTCGGAAGAAGTAGTGGGGCACGCCGGGGTTCAGTGTGAAGGAGAGGGCCACCATACTTAGGGCAGGGGAGGAGCCTAGTCGACTCATACCGGAGGTTTCTAAACTACACACAGCATTGGGACCTAGACCCCCAGGCCTCCGGGCCTCCAGAGAAACCACGCGAGCCCCAGGGCAGCGACCGCCCCGGTGCCCAACCTCCAGGGCCTCCACCATGGCCAACACTCCCAGGACCCTATCGCATCGGCTGCTATTGCTGCCGTTGTAGTGGTTGCTGCTGCTATGGCCACTGCTGCTGCCGCTGCTGCTCGGGGCAGGTACCTCGAGGGCGTGGAAGTGTGCCACGAGCTCACCAGTAGAGTGGGCCTCCAGGAGCTCGTAGTCCGTGTGCTGGCTCACCAGCTGCCGGCGGAGAGCGAGAAGCCAGAGTGCAGAGCCGGCCGTTTGGCCTTCGGCGTCCAGCCGAGGGACAGATCCCGAGTAGTGGGAGGCACTAGGGGCTGCAGGAGCACAAACGGTGGTTGCCGGAGTGGCGGCTGCGGCGGTCTGGCAGCCGGCGGCTGGGAGCTGGTGGCCCCCAGCTGGCAGCTGGCTGGGTACTGGCGGCCGGCTGGCGGCTGGCTGACCGCGTGCAGGCCGTTGGCGAGCAGCTGGCTGGCAGCTGGCGGGCGGCAGCGAGCGGCTAATGGCAGGCTGGCAGCAGCGGCATCGAGCGGCAGGCTGGCGGTAGTGGCAGCAAGCGGCTGGTGGCAGAGGCAGGCTGGCGGCAGTGGCAGCGAATGGCAGGCCAGCAGCAGTGGCAGCTAGCAGCAGACTGGCGGCAGCAGCTGCGAGTGGCAGGCTGGCAGCAGTAGCGAGCCGCAGTCAGGCGGCAGTGGTGGCTAGCTGGCTGCGGCAGGCTGCTGGCGAGTGGGCAGTGGGCTGGCAGTAGCGGCTGGCGGCTGGCGGGTAGGCGAGGGAGTGACAGGAGCATGACACGGTTACGTCAGTAGATGCAGCAACTGGCAGGGACTAAGTGTGCAGGGTGAAGAGACTTGACGCTGGGTTATGCTCAAAAGTGGCTAGGTGTTGACCCGTAGCTGTGTCCGTACAGGCTACGTGTTTCTCGTAGCCATGAAACGTGGTGGCAATGCATAGGTCCTGGACGAGACCTTCACTTACTAAGTTCCTTGCAAACAAGGGGATGTGCAGACTTGTGGGGGAGCCGGAGGGGACAGCTGGACAAGGGACAACGGTGGTGCTCCGTGCGACAAATGTGGCTGGGGAGTCTGCTAGTGCAACGCGGACGGGTGAAGGAAGTGGGTTGAGAGCAGTGCTACCTCTGAAGAAGCAGCGTCACGCATCAGAGTCTAGGATAAAAGAGAGGGCCGATGTGGCGGGGCCCAATGAAGGATCGTTAAAGAGAGTCTACGC